CTTGTTGCAGGGGTTTGAAATATATTTTTTTATATAACTTTAAAATAAGTATCTAGCTTTAAAATTATTTAAGAAAGCAGATGAATATTGACCATTCGCCCCCCCTCCATTATCTCGGAAACTACTGAACCTAAAATTTTGAAAAAATACAGAAAACTGTTCTTTACTTATAGATTACAGAAAAATTAATGAAAAGTCTATGGTTTTGACATAACGTGGTTAATTATTCAACAAAACAATATGGTGTGTCTGTCTGTCCGTTTTTTTTGTATACCAACATTTTTGTTTTATAAAATCGAAACTGTTTGTGGAATGTTGTGGATCTCTATTTTTCCTGCTAATTTTTCAGAACACTGTGCTACGACATCAACAACGGTGACAATTACCGGCTTATACGGAGAGCAATGTCTACCTACCTACCCACCTCCTACCACCACTATCCGGCCACCGTAAATAAATAAAAAAAAAAAGTGAAATAATGCCGACACGAAGGACCCTATTTAATATTTCATATTTTATGAATGCCGGTAAGCCTGAGATATGTCCGCTGGTGTGGTGAACGCGCAGGTTCATCAGTCGTTCGCGCCGTCTTTTCGCGGAGAAGATATCAACGTTCAACACACCACGCGTCCATTATAAATGCAACCTTTATATATTGCACTTCAATAAATAAGTAACTTTATATTCCGAGTACAATCAACTCCGGTACTTTAAAGGCGCGCAAAACAATAAAATATCTAATATATGATTGAAACGCGCTTTTTCCCGCGCAACCAGCCAACACGACCGCTCATACGCCGATAAATAACACGCGGACGATCTCCGTAATGCTATTTATTTGCGCCAATTGACGACCCAAACTCAGTGTAAGAGAGAAATAATGAGAGAGAGTATGAGCGAGATGGAAAGAGAGAACGACAAGCCCACCACCGATCAGGAATGATGGTACAGGATGGACTAATTTATAATTATTGTAATTGTATATGAACCCTGTCTCACTGATGGTAACACAATTACAAATAGTATGTTTGGTTAATGCCGAGATGTAGAGACCCTAGTGGGGCGAAACGAGTGGAGGGATGAGGTTGTCCTTCTAGAACGCCATACGTTGTAGATAGGATAAATTATAATATGAGAAAGGGTGTTAAGGATGGTGGAGGTGGAAGGTGTAAAATTGATCTTCTAGGCTGTAGAGCATTAAAACTAGGATAGAGATCTGTGTTTGAGTTGCCTTTTCCATCCATAGTCTCATTATGCAGGTCATGCTGCTTAGGATCGAAAGGTTACGGTAAGAAAAGACATCTGGAGGCAGTGCAAGCACCTAAGAGAGTGACGAAACACTTATACCTACTCGTGACCTTCGCAACAGCTAGTACACAGATAGGTTAATTGCACGTGTGACGATTTATAGTAGTCTGTACTGCGTAGATATTGTTCGATTGACAATGTTACTGCTATTGTCACAAAATACAAAATTACGTTAAGTTTTAAAATTTTAAACAGAGACAATGTATTCGCACACAGAAAATGCGGACATGGTGGTCAAATATGGACGGTGCAGTGACAATGCACTGGCGATGTTTCGGGAATACGTATTATCATTTCCGAAGTAGTTGGACGTTACTTTCGTTAAGGTCATAACCCTCGTGTTTATGTATGTCACTGAATGGTGCGAGATTGCTCTTATCCTAGACTTAAAAAATAGTTTTCCACACTTTTTAACCATTGCTATGTAGTCTTTCTATCACAATCCACCCCCCAAGAAAAGGTTCTTCAACTCCATCCCCTTTACACCTTTACAGTGTTGTGTATGACCATTTCCTTCCCTCTCCCTTCATCCCATTCCCTTCTCCGACGGATTATCAATTCATATAGACAGTTATCGTTTACCTACTCCATTTTTTCAAATATCAACTTTACCCTGTATGCCTCCGCGTATTCACACCAAATTAAAAACAGTTTTATGTAATTCTACAAGCTACTAACATTCTCCCACTCATTCCCCTATCCCTAATCCCCATTCCGACTATTGTAAAATTGAAAGTGTGGCTCAAGAATATTTGAACAGGATTGAAGGCTACGTTTTTCAAATATATGTGTAGGTATATCAAATTACAATTTCTGTAGGTATTTGTTGTATAAACAAATAGACGGACACAACTTTTAGTAAACAACTAGTAAATACCTGAATGAACACAAACGACAGCTTTGACAAAGGATTCCCCAAAGCCACTCTAACCACTTTAAATGTTTTGACATGCGCTTCGTGGATCATCTTTGGGGTGAATCTGAAATAGAAAAGAACTTTTTTATTTACGAATTCAGTGATGCAATCTCAATATCTTTTAAACCCGAAGTGGGAAATCAAGGAGTTAAGCTCCCAATTTTACAGTCACGACTTTTGTCTTAATTTGATGTTATTAAACGGAATAATACTTTGATGGTCATTCGAGTTGAACAAAAAACATCTTCATAGCATGGGTTGAAATTTCTTTTATTATGCAAAATGCAAAGAGTATAATTAAACAATATAACGATAATCAATATAACAAATAGTGACAATAACAAAATTGCATAAGAAGTACCCAAAAAATAAATCTGTTCAACCGTTATTTTTGCCGGGACTGGGGCCCCTTGAACACTTGGAGCCCCAGTGGACTGCACACCCTAGTCCCATGATAGCTAAGTGCCTGCTTTAGTCTGCTATTTTTATTCTGAAAAAAAAGTTTTCTCAGTTTAAATTTGGTCACTTTAAGAGTTTTGTACTTTCGAAGTGAAGAAACGGCATCTGTAAAGAAAGACATTGTCGGCCTCATTGTGATTCGTTCGTTCCAGAAACCATGGCCAGGTTTGGGAATGAGATGAGCATTAGTGTCTCTGGTCTAGGCGATTTAAGGGTTCATTCCTGGCCAGTTTTCAACCTTGCTGTAGCTTGGAGCTTGACATTAGAAGTTTTATTATATTGTATTAACAAACGGCTGTAATGAAACGTCAAGGGCATAATGATCGCACTTAAACGGAGGGCCTTTTTGACGCCCTGCGATAACCAACAATTGACAGAAGGATTTCATGTGCTCGAAGGTATGGAATAAAGGCTCTAACATGTAACAAAACAAAACAAATTTCCACGTTTTTCTCTGATAAAATGAGGCGCTGAAATCTTCGATTAAGTAACGGTTTATTAAGTGATGTGAGTTTGTACGGGTGCGGAACACACTAAGAAGCATTTGGGAGATTTTGTTATAGGCTTGCTTTGTTTTCGATAAATAATAACTACAATACGTATTATTTATAATTAAGTAATTTAGTGAGTTAAATTTTAACTTTCCGATTGCTGCAATAATTTTAAATATACACCTGCATTAGTTGAGATAAAAGCAGCTGTAGCTCTATAGTTAATCATCATCATCATATGGTCGTCAGTCCTAAGACTGGTTGGACACGCACCTCCATTCTTTCTTATCCTGAGCTAATCTTCGCATTTCCCTAAAACTATAACAACCCATATCCTTAACTATTTGCGAACAGTAATCTAATCTGGGTCTATCTCTACCCCTTCTAACTTCCGTTTCTGCCTCTAATATGTCTCTAACTAGGCCTCCATGTCTGAGAAGGTGTCCTACCAACATATCCCGCCTATTTCCTATTGACTTCCACAGAGTCCTCTGTTCTCCTATTCCTTCTAATACTTCTTCATTTCTAACCTTGTGTATCTATTATATCCTCATCATTCGCCTATAACACCACATTTCGAACGCTTCTAACCTTTTCTTTTCCGCCGCGCCCACCGTCCATGTTTCGCACCCGTACAGCGCCGCACTCCAAACATGCACCCTTAACAACATTTTTTGAATTTCTAAATTAACCGTTAACCATAGAGTCTTCTGTTCTCCTATTCTTTCTAATACCTCCTCAGTTCTAACCTTCTCTATCCACGGTATCTTCATCATTCTATGGTTAATGAGTTTTATTTTTATCTGGAAGATCTGAAACGCTTTAGATCGGTACTCTCGTAGTAAAGAAACAGAATCTGTAAGACATTTTCGGTCTCATTGTAGTTCGTTCGTTCCAAAAACCACATGACCAGGATTAGGAACGGGATGAGCATTGATATCTCTGGTCTGGACGATTTAAGCTGTTCGCTCCTGGCCAGTTTTCAACCTTACAGTAGCTTGAAGCTTGGCATTAGGAGTTTTATTATATTGTATTAACAACCAGTTGTAATCAAACGTCAAGGGCATAATGATCGCACTAGAGCGGAGGGCCTTTTTGACGCCCTGCGATAACCACGACGGCAATCATTAGCACACCCCGAACCGAAAGGAATATAACTACTCCTGCACCGACCGACCGACCGACCAACCAACCAACAACCACCATGAGCGTCGTGACGGCGGCATCGGCAATAGATATATGTGTACGTGGTCGTAATGTACAGCGTCGTTGTTGCCGTTATGTGTTTGTACATGCTTATCCCCCAACATAAATCACAGCAATATGCAATATAATTCTGAGGACTATCTGCTGCTTTTTCGCAAGCAGATGTTCTTCGGCACACAGACAGACACACACGGGGCCGGAATTCCCCACGATAATCCTTTATTATCGCAGACCAGAAGGACGACGGGCGCAGAATTATCTAAAGCATAAGATATGCGAAAAGTATCTCGCAGCGGCCAGTTTTAATTACCCCCTCGAACTATATTTCATCTAAATTAGCTTTGTATCACTGGGGGAGGTATTGCAACTTCTCTAAACCACTTCTAAATCAGAAACAACGGAATGTCTTCTTCAATAGAAAATTTAAATGGAAATATATCATGTGGACGCGTTACTTATATGAGAATTCATACAGCTAGATTTATTTGTAAGTTTATACATGTGATAGGCTTACCCCTTAAGACCCATATAAAAAATCCATAAGGCAATCCTCATTTTAGTATCACCACTTTTTTTGTAGGATTTTTATGAGGAATCTACGGGGAAATCCGTATATCGGCATGACCCTCATTAGCCACATGAGGCCCGCACGCTACATAGGGCATGCTCCCTATAAATCCTAGTCGGGTTATTATTAGATAAAAGTCTTATATTCGGTGAACTATCGGAATAATGGAATAAGTCAATTTCGGAAAAGTGCCGACTGTAAACTACTGCAGCTTAAAGTGTTCTACCCCTGAAACTGAGTTTGTGGTAAAAGGTTGATGAGGAAACATCGCAAACTCTACTACTGAAAATTCGGTGTACCTCTTAAGGGCGAACAATCCATTTTAATCATCGTCATAAGGTCGTCAGTCCTAAGACTAATTGGACACGTACCTCCAGTCTTTCCTATCCTGAGCTAATCTTCGCATTTCCCAAAACTAGAACATATTCTAAATCCTTAACTATTTGTGAAAAGTAATCTAATCTAGGTCCTAACAACCTATCTATCTCGCCTACTTCTTCCATACAGTCCTCTGTTCTCCTATTCTTTCTAATACCTCTTCATTTCTAACCTTCTCTATCCACGATATCCTCGTCATTCGCATATAACACCATATTTGCTAATGCTAATACTGCTATATCATCTGCAGACCTAAGCATACTAGTATTTTGCCCCTGTATACCTATCCCTACAGTTGTAATGTCTTTAATGATGTTGATCGCGTCTTCGATGTATATATTAAAAAGTAGCGGTGACAGTGTGCATCCCTGTCTGACTCCCTTCCTAATATTTACTTTTCTACGTTGCATCCCCAGCTCTATAACTGCCTGTTGCTCTTTATACAAACTAAGTATCACTCTTCTATCTTTGTAACTCATCCCTACATTTTTAAGTATATTTAACATCTTGTCCCATTTAACATTGTCAAAAGCTTCCAAATCTACAAATCCTATGTACGCACTCTTTCCTTTTTCTATCATTTTCTCTATTATTACCAGTAAAGCTAGAATGGCCTCCCGCGTTCCTCTATTTCTTCTAAACCCGAATTGATCTTCTCCTAATAGTTCTTCTGCCCTTTTAACCATCCTCCTCTGTACAATTCTAGTTAAGATTTTTGACGAATGGGAAGTTAAACTAATTGTTTTAAATGTCTCGCACCTATCCGCGCCTCTCTTTTTAGGTATGGTTACTATATCACGTTCCGTTTATAATCCTCTGGGACTTTCCCTGTCTCGTAGATGTGACTAACTATCCATTTTAATGATATGCACTAATTTGGGACTGATGAAATGGCAATAAACGGTCCTTATTATTATCAACGCGTTCTGGATGCTTTCTTTGTTTCCTTATTTCCTAATTTAGTATCAGCCTGTTAAGTAAGCATTATTGATGGAAAAAAATTTCGTACATTTTCGAAGTTCACGATCCAGATTAATCTCTTCATCGACATTACTGCCCGCCTGCCAGTACACATACGTATGCACAGGCACACACACACACACACTCAAAAGAGGTGGTGGATGTCCTAAAGGCCGGCCGTTCCCGTTCCGAAGAAATAAATAAACACGCAAAGGCTGACGTATCCATATATCCTGTGGTATCTTGTCGCCGTTCATCTCCCGCGTCCATTGTTTCTTGCTGATTTAGCGCGTGGTCGGTGCAACACAATGCACCTACGGTAGTGGTTCAAGTACCATGGTAGCGCACCATCTCGCGCAACAACCGATGATACGATGCGATTCGGTGAACGACAAGAGCGGCACAGTACCGCTGCTTATGCGGCGAACATCAACTACACCCCATGGTCTAAGATGTTCTTCCATATCATCACTCCTTTCTATCTTCGTAGTTCCTTTAAAATTTAATCTAGATATTCCTCTGACTGTCTTTGCTCCTGTTTGTGCTTCTAAAATGTCTCTTACAAGACCTTCATGTCTCAGAAGGTGTTCTACCATCCTATCTCTTCGTTTCCGAATTAATCGTTCGCGAGAAGAGGAAGTGTTATCCCATAGAATCAACAAAAAGTATATGTGATTCGACATGATGTCACTTTAAGGGAGCTGTCCACATTGATTACAGCAGGGAGGGATTTTAGTAAAACTGATATTGAGAAGACCTGAGCACAATTTAGGGGTATTTGAGAGCAAAGTTTAAGAATAAAAAATAGAAAGAGGAGACTGTGGTAAATATTAATTAAAAATTAAAAGGAATACTTACCCCTAATTACCACAAATAATTTTATATGAGCGGACACGTGTTTCGCCCACTTCACACGTGGGCATTATCAACGCGAGACTGATAATGTCCTCCTGTCAAACGAGATTACCAGCGCAGTCGAGCTCTCCACTACCTCCCGCCCAA